GATCAGTCCTCGGAGAAGGACATCATGCTTGCTAAAGTAGAGGGTCAGCAAAAAAAAGAAAGTCCCTCAATGGATGGATTGACACAGTTGTTGCAACAATGGGCTCAAGCATAAAAAGGATTGTGAGGATGGCGCAGGACCGAGCAGTGTTTCGTTTTGTTGTACATGCGGTCACTATTAGCTGGAAATGACTTGACATCACCTAACAACAGACACAGAAAAAATTTTGGGCTATGACATATCTGACAAAGGTCTAATCTGTAAAATCTATAGGAAAATTCAACACCTCTACAACAAAAAAGACAAATAATCCAATTAATAACTGGGCAAAGAACATGAACAGACACTTCACCAAAGAAGACATTCAGGTGGCTAACAGACACATGAGGAAATGCTTGCAGTCACTAGCCATTAGAGAAATGCAAATCAAAACTACAGTGAGATACCATCTCAGCCCAACATTAGTGGCATGAATCAAAAAAACAGACAATAACAAATGTTGGAAAGGCTGCAGGAAGAAGACTGGAACTCTTACGCACTGCTGGTGGGAATGCAAAATGGTACAAATGGGAGTTCAGCTTCCTATTTACAATTGCCAGCATTGGGGTTGTACTCAATCCTCTAGTGGATGTCTTTGTACACCAGAATAAGCTGCACATAAGAAAGCTTCCACAGCCTGAAGGAGGATGAGGCAGTGGAGTTCACCTTTAAGAAGGCCTGGGCCTGGGCGATCTATCTGTATCTCCAGACCTGGTAAGGTACTTTGTACTAGGAGGGAGAAGTGGCCAAAGGGGAAGAATATGCAGAAGTACAGATCAAAAGTAGACAGGTGCTATAATTGTGGAGGTCTGTAATGAAATAACAGATCTAGGAAATGATCACCAATGGATACTAAAATCCATTAGGTGAAAAATTGACAAAAAATTTTATAATGTAAGGATCGGGCTGACAACACCTGAACCTAAGGATCAGTAACCAGACCATTTTGTGTTTCCTGAGGTGATGCAATAGGAAGTACACCTATGAAGTATTCTTGCCAAAAATTTTAAACCAGAATGTAATTAAGCCTGTAGCTCTACCAGTTAATAAAAAATATGAAAAATAGTGGAATCATTTAAACATCACAAAAAAACAATCAACCAAATTCAGAACATAGAATATACTTATAGAACGAATGACCCAGTTTTTTCAACAAATAAATTACAAGAAAAAGTGAGACAGGGAGACAGAGAGTACCTAAAGATTTAAAAAGACCTAAGAGATATAAGAACCAATGCAATGTGAAAATCTTGTTTGGATCTTGATTTTAATTAAGCCAACCATAAAGACATTTTGAAATTACCATGAAAATGTGAATATTAACTGGGTAAAAGATAATCTTAAGGAATTACTGTCATTTTGTAAGGTATAATTATACACAGTGATTATGAAAATAGAAGGCATTATCTGTTTAGAGATGCACATTGAAGTTTATACTGATAAAGTGATATAATGTCTGGGACTTGCTATAAAATATTCCAGGAAAAAAATAATTCACACGCACACACATGCATACATACACACACACGTATATGTGCAGATAGACAGATAAAGCAGAATTAGCAAAATGTTGAAAACAGTTGAAGATGGGTGATAGATACATAGGAGTTCATTATACTATTCTATCTTCTTTTGTGTATGTTTGAAAATTTCATTACTACAAAAGAAAGGAAGGAAGGAAGGGAGGGAGAGCCTAGCAAATGAGGGAAGGGAAGGAATAACAGAAGGGTAGGAAAGAGGGAAGGGGCCCTGGTGGTGCAATGGTTAAGTGCTTGGCTGCTAACTGGAAGGTTGGTGGTTCAAACCCACCTGGTGCCTCTGTGGGAGAAAGACCTGGCAATCTGCTCTCATAAAGATTATAGCCTAGAAAACCCTATGGGGAAGTCCTACTCTGTCACATGGTGTTGCTAGGAACTGATACTGATTCAACAGCACCTAACAACAACAACAGGAAGGAGGGAGGGGAGGGCGGGAAGAAGTAAATTTGAGCCAGGTCAGTAAGTAAGCCTGTAGGGTGCGTGCTATAGAATTTCCTAATGCTCTAGCATCCAAAGTCCCAGAAGCCCTCTGTCTCTGAGATTGACAATGTTGGACCATGGGAATAACCAGATTTAGAGGTGTCCCATCAATAGAAATGGACAAATCTGGACTGGGAATCTAGGTACAAAGTAGAAGAACTGCCACAGAACTTGCACCATTATTCCTTCTGGCAGCATGCCTATTGAGCTGGTCTTAGTAGGAAGTATGCTCCTTCTCTTCTCATCTGTAGTAGCTGCTTCTATTCCCTCTCTCAGGTGGTCTGAAAGAAATAGGGTTAAATTGGCTAGGTAAATGGCCAGGTAGCCATTTGTCCCTATAAATTCATTTAGGTTACCATCAGTAGCAGTCTGGAATAAATAATTCATCTCAGTTCTTGAAAATCCATATAGAAACAATGCTGAGAGGGCAACAACTTGTGGAGCTCTAATTTTGTAGGAAATGATGAATGAAAACCCCTTCATTTTTACTATCTCCCTAACAATTTGAGAGGTTAAGAAACAGTGGTACTGGCAGTATATACTCTGTAAGTGGGGCATAGGAGATGTCCCATTTGTGGGGGGAAAAAAAACCACTTTTGCAGCCTTGCCCTGATATCATGGAGCATTAATCTCTGTAAGTGCAGCTGCATTTGGAATACTGGGGGTTGGGAGTTCCAAACATCTCTGGGAGAGAAAATAACAATGGTTTAGGATGAACAGGCTCCAGTTCAACCAGTTTGCGTATAAAGGCCATTTCCCTTCTTGGACACCAGAGTCTTCTTCCTTTAGTACCTATCGGTAAGGCAAAATGACCAATTACTACTGCCCTGACAGAGAACACAACAGAGTCGTTGATGGAGCAGGAGAAAGGTGGGGGGCAGAATTCAAATTGTAGCAAAAAAACCAGACTTAACGGTGCGACTGAGACTGAAGGAACCCCAGAAAGCATGGCCCCCGGACTCTCTGTAAACCCAGAAATAAAACCATTCCCGAGGCCAACTCTTCAGACAAAGATTAGATTGGACTATGGGACATAAAATGATACTCATGAAGAGTGTGCTTCTTAGCTCAAGTAGATACATGAGACTAAATGGGCAGCTTCTGTCTGGAGAGATGAGAAGGGAGAGAGGGTCAGAAGCTGGTGGAATGGACATGGGAAATCAGGGTGGAAAGAAGGAGTGTGCTGTCACAGTATAGGGACAACAAGCAGGGTCACAAAACAATGTATGTATAAATTTTTGTATGAGAGACTAACTTGAATTGTAAATTTTCACTTAAATTAAAACAATAAAATAAATAAAAATATGAAAACAAAAATGACCAGTTACTACTAGTTCCTCTCTAGCTTTGCAGCAATTAAGTATTCCTATAAATAAACAATGAAAATCTGATTTCCTTTTGTATGGGCTAAAGCAGCTTGAATGGGATTAATGGCCATGTGGTAGATTCTTGGAAGCCAGGCTGCTTTAGGGCTAAGATGTTACTGGAGTGGCTGAAAGTATAAATGTAGTCAAGGAAAGAAACGCAGATTTAGCACCAGAATAGAACAAAAGCTGTCTGAATATAGAGTTGTAGACAAATGATGAGGTAAGAGTACAAAAGCTGAGAATATCAGGAATAGGTCAGGAAACAGCAATGTTGAAGAAAGGCCCAGGCTAGGATGCTAGAAACTTGCTTTTAGCAGTTGGTGGCCATGTGGTATGAAGCTAAGTCAGCTGGTTTAAAGGTACAGAACTGGGCCAAATGTAACAATGCATTTTTCTAATACCGGATATTAGCTGTGGCATTGGATACCTTGACACATCCTCATCTCAATAAAAAATGGATAGAAAGCCTGCCCTGACAACAATTGTACTTTATGAAGAGGATAAATTGTGAAATAGCCATTCTTTTTGTTCAAATAATGTTACTATCTCCCAAAGAACAGCTTTAGGGCAGGAAAGAACAGTATTTCATTTCAAGCTGGACTACTCACCTACCAAAAATACCATTCTGACCAAAGAAACAGATGCAGAATTACAGTCACAGCTGCATTCTATACAGAACAAGTTGTATAATGGTACTCTAAACTGCTAATTACACTGCTAATGATTTTTTTAGTGTCACTGCAGTTATTTTGCCACCTTTGTTTAAATTTTTTAAAAAAGCAACTAGGAAATTTTTTAAATGGTAAATTTCTGTTTTGTTAAATACCAATGTGTCTTCCAAAGGGAAATTCTATCTAAAACCCATTTCTTGAAAAGGCATTATCATATAGGATTTCATAGGAGCTCATGTGTTTTAATTTACTTTCTCACCGATTTATAGCCATTTAAGATCACTGAGGCCATAAGTATTTCAGTATTACAGTTTGCACCTAGATTCACAGTTCATATGAAAAGATAATAAACTAACATATGTCATGATAGCTGGTATTGGTATGTGCTGTGACCAGATTTACAAAAAAAGTAATAGCAACAGTACAATTTTATTTCTACTGTGATAACCATGGTGAAATTTATTACAGTATTAGTACCTTATTGTTTAATCATGCCAGCATAGCTGAATTACATTTTTTATATAAAAATGATGTTAATGTTTTTATTTCAATTTAGCAGATTATACTATGCAGATTAAAGCATTATCATTATTCTGTGTTGTTTGTTGTACATTTAAGTAGCAGAATATTTTTTTCTACCAAGAGTAAACTAATTTCTACTAAATTACTTCATTAAAGTTTCTAAATAACTAGCCTCTTATGAACACCTAAAGCTGGACAAAAACTTACACACATTCAATTTACAAAAAAAATTTATACCCAGAAAAGAGGTGCCCCAATCACAATTATGCCACAATGTTTTTTTAAAATAATTTTTTGATAATGTTTATATTTAGTAAGGTAAATCAGTAGTTAAAAATTAAAAACACAGAATCTTATGTAATTACAAACTCGTAAGTACTTACATTTTCTTCTAACAGACCTTCTAATCTTAGTGATCTTTTAGCACTGCAAAAAAAATGTAAAGAAGTCTCAGATTTGACATGCTTTAAGTAGCCACATATTTAAGAGTAAGATATATAAACAAAAATTGTTACTTTTACCAACTAATTTTTATATAACTTATTAAAGCAGAATACCATATAAAGAAAGCAATTATTCATGATAATGAAACTGAGTTTTTTAATAGTATATTTAATAGTATATTTTTAATAGTATATTTTAATAGTAAATTTGTTTTTAATAGTATCTTTCAAAATGGAATCATAATTAAATATTTAAATGGATCACTTTTCTATATATGTGGTTTTATATACATGAACTACCATACAATTCAAAGATTAAAGTCATATTATAAGAAATCTTAGCAAAAAATTACTTTTTGTTTTTAAATACTACTAATAAAAAATCATACATAAGAGCAAAATAATTTACATACCTTCAACGGAGATGTTAAAAGTGTATTATTTGCAGAAATAAATGTCAGGTGTTAAAATAAAGGTATAAGCAAGGTGAAAAAGTTTTGCACATTATTCTACCTTTAAACATGATTCAGTGCTACCAGACTATGACTTAACTGAGGAACAGATGCTCTATGACTTTATAAGTCCCCAATCCATAAGAAACTATTTTTTGTCACCTTCACTAAACTGATTCAGGAACATGCCAGGCTCTCTCTGTGCAAAATCTGTTCTGCTAAACTGGATACCCAGCTGTTGGTGACAATGCTTAGAAAGGAAAGTCGAGTATTTATAATACTTTATTTCATACAGCTGTCTTCTAAAGAGCAGTCATCAACATTTTACTGAATTTAGACTAAATGCTCAAAGGAGAGAAAGGTCAGTATGAATTAAAACTAGTTTTCTCAGTGACAAATACAGCATAAAATTACTTTCTTGATCACTGAGACATAGAAATTAAGTTACTTAAATTACCAGAGAACTATAAGGCAAAAAAAGATTGTATTATAAAGTTGTATTATAGAAAAAATTGTATAGATCATAGGAAATGACTACAAATAACTGACTTGATTTACAAACAACTGATAAAAGAGACGGACAACCTATGAAACTTACTGAGCAGTAAATATTAAATACAAAAATTTAATCTATCTAAAAAGGGTTCACTAATTTTGCTATCATATGTATGTTAGCCTATCATAAAACATTATTTTTGTGACTGACTAAATTGGTTTAAAGAATTAATCTCTTTGAAATCAATTTAATGTGAATTCTCAATGAAGTAAGAAGAGAATAAAGGTATGAACAAGTAACAGTGGCAGATGATCTGCAAAAGTACTTATATTTAGCTTTGGAATATATATTACTCTATTCCAGTTTTGGGAAACCCTGGTGGTGTAGTGGTTAAGAGATCGGCTGCTAACCTAAAGGTCAACAGTTTGAATTCACCACGTGCTCCTTGGAAACCCTATGGGGCAGTTCTACTCTGTCCTATAGGGTCACTATGAGTCAAAATCGACTCGATGGCAACGGGTTTGGTTTTGGTTTTTGGATTCCAGTTATGAGATGTTCTGGTATTTCACACTAATTCAAAAGTAGAGATCAAAAACTAAAGCTACACAGTGCAGCATCTTGTATCATTTGTTTCTAAATTCTAAGATGCAACACTATATTTTAGAAGGACACAAACCCCAGCCTGATATTAAGTTTTCAAAATATTACTACTTTATTATCAATGATTAATTTTTAGAGAAAGTAACTAAATGTTTGTATTTAAAAGGTTTCAAGATTAGGCCCTAGATTGATCTAAGAAGTCTAAGGAAGTATGTAAAAGTAAACAAGAAAGTAAGCTAGGTTAAAAGAGGCTGTTACCTCCCACTTTAGCTATGCTGTAAGAATATAAAACATGATCTGTTGTGTGTAATGTGATGTTCAGATAATCCAGGCACCTAATAATCAAAAGCTGGTAATATTACAGGAATCCTAAAAAGATCTAATAGACCAGATTAGAAGAAATCCATTAGTTCAGCCAATAGGGAAGAGTTCGTGAGACTTTGCCAGTATCACACGGCTTGAGGGAAAGAAACTCAGAGCTCAGGTCCTGTGTATAATACATCTTTGTTGAACTGAGGGGGAAGGAGGTAAAGAAGAGTAAACCTACTAAAGGAATTTATGATCATCTATTCTAACCATTCTATTAGAATTGGGCTCACTATTAATCAGTTTATCAGTCATTAAATTAAGCACCTACAAAAAGGTCAGCAGTTCAAACCCATCAGCTGCTCCATGGGAGAAAGATGTGGCAGTCTGCTTCTGTAAAGATTACAGCCTTGGAAACTCTATTGGGCAGTTCTACTCTGTCCTACAGGGTTGCTATGAGTCGGAATCATCTCAATGGCAGTAGGTTTGGTTTTGTATATATGCAAGGCATTCTTTTACCCCTGAACTGTATAACATAAAGAGGATTAGGACGATGTTAGTCGGACTAAAGAGGAAAAGATGTATGAAACATATAGTATAAAGAAAGAAGAGACAAAACTTGATTAGATATATGGAATAAATATTTTCCTAAAATATTTAATCAATTACTAACAGTATTGGTTAGCAATTAAAAGTGATATATTTCTGGTAGTTCTGTAAAGTTAGAAGCAGCTCATGTGGCTGTTTCAGTTTGTGACAAAATGAGCACCTACCTATTATGTCCTAATTACCTCCCTCTCATGGGTAACCATATAACCCCTGCAGGTGACTTCTCACTTTCAACTTACCCAAATTTTTACCTATTCCTGTAATTTAAATACTATATTCCATCTTGCAGTGAGTGTACTAGGTTTAGGTTCACTGGGATCAAAATTCTGGTTGCTACCAGCATTCTTGCTGCTGAGAACTTAAGAACAAATTTAAAAAAAAAAAATTTGACATGCAATTTTATATCAACAGGAATAGAAAGTATTACTATGTTTGTTCTTTATATATAGATTTAGCTATGCTAGTATCCTGAAGAGGACTCTGATTCATCAGAAGAGAACAAGTAGATGCATTTGATTACATGACATTACTAACAGCAATGATTAAAGAAATAATTCTACAAAAAAATGAACTATCATTGGATCCCTAATTAAAAACTAGGAATCATACCTCAAAAGCACAAGAAATTATGTGATTTGAGGTTCTCTAATATGACTTTTAAAACAATAGATAAAATGATTTGAATAGCAGGACTGAGGGTCAAAGTGGGGGAGGGGTGAAGAACAAAGTAAAGCAGACAAGACTTACGGAGCCTTGATGCTATGACAAATACCTTCCCTAAGGTGGGCATATCACATAATTTCACTAAGCTTCATAAAGTAGATAATAATACTAGCCTGTAAAGTAGTTAAGAAATTTCTGAATGGAAGATAAAAATATCAGTATTTCAGTGCTTCCATTTACTCCTCACTATAATGGAATGATAATATTGCCAGCCACCAACTTAACAAGAATGTTTAGAGAATTACTGGGTATGCTTATGAGATGCTTAGAAATCCTTTGATGAAAGGCAATGGCTAAATTTAAATCCCATGTGACTCCTTAAGTGTAAATTGAGATATCTGAAATGATTTATTTTCCATTCTATGTATGGGAATCAGTAGAGATGGGAGAAAAATCTCCTATATCCTTTTTGCATGTTCCCTTTCATTCAAGCCTATTCTCCTTTGTGTTTAACAGTTTTAGTGGCACATAATAATTCACTACCACAGCATGGGTGAATGGGAACACCACTCCATTACATGTAGACGCATGGTCACTATGTGCCAGCATCAAAATAATTGACTAATCCTCTTACTCTTCAGGACAAAATTGGCCAAAAACTTTTAATGATTATTGGGAAACATATTTGTGGTGTCAAAAGCGTCCTTATTAAAAGATTAATAAAGAGTTAGCCAAAGAATTCTTAAACAAAAGTCAAATGGATATATTTTGTTCATGGTAACCACAAAGAAAGTTAACAAACCAACTCCTAAAAATAAAGACGAAAATCATAAAGTCTCAGCAAAAACAAAACCTACAAAAACAAAAGAAA